ATCACCCATGGTCTGTAACATCTGCTCGGGGGGCCCACTGTCTTTTTAGGTATGGAAATCTTTTTCCTGCTCCATAGTTTCAAACTGCTCACAATTCATGTGGGGGATTGACAGGTGACAGCACCCTGACAGGCGGGTTATTAAAATAGGCTGGCAGAACTCAGGTCCACGCTCAGGCTTTCCAGAATACATAAAACTATGGGTTTGGGAGCACCTGCGCCGGCCGGGAAAATGTCAGTGATCGTGATGCCAGACGTCTGTCCTCGGGTGCACCTGTCCTGTCCCCACTGGGGGCCTTTCTGCAACTGGCACTGGGCGTCCAGAGCCTCTGGGCAGCCATACAGCCAGGTCCCTGGCCCACATCGGTCAGCCAGCAGGTATACCTGCCCCTCCTTCTTTCCAGGGGACACAGAAGACGTCACAGGAGGATGACGTGCAGCTGTGAGACCCCACACCCACCGCACGCACGCCTGTGCCTGCCAGGGCCTGACCAGCCTACCCACAGCAGTGCACCTGCTCTCAGGCACCAGCCTCTCTGCTCCTCGAGTGCCGTTGGCCCAGCGGGTGCTTGCCCTTTTCTCAAGGGAAGCCCCACAGCCTTCTTGGCCTCAGCAATGCTGCTCCCCAGGGACAGAGCTCAGTCCTCGTCTCCCTTCCAGGGGCAGAGGCACCATGGATCACACCACAGGGGACTCTGTGCCCTCGGCTGCAGTCACGGCGCTCTGCCTGCAGAGGGGACCTCTGGGCACTCAGGCAGCTGCTGTGTGGGGCGGTGGCTCCCGGGGAAGCGGCTGTCAGCAGAGCAGACCTTCAACAACAGGCCGGAGGGTCCCTTTGCTCCTGACCTGGCTGAGTGTTCCCTAAGAACTGTCAGTCGCGTGCTCCCACAGCAGCTGGAGAAATAGCCCTACCAGGTTCTCTCCAGCCGCAGGGAGAACCTCTCCTGGGTCCTTGCACTGACCTTGGGCAGCCTGCCTGGTCTCCCTCACCCCCGGCTCTTCTGTCATGCTGTGTCCTCATTGCTGTGACGTCCTCTCGGAAGAGGATGAGGGATTAGGAAAAGCACCCACAGAAGGTGAGCCCCATGGACACGGGATTCTTCTGCCAGAACCCTGCTTGCCTGCCGTCCTGGGGACCGAGTCAGGTGGCCTGCAACCACAGGGACCTTCATCCTTGTTCTAGAAAGGGGGCCAGGGAGAGTCAGCATGTCACCACGTGTCCTCCATCCCACTGTGACTGCGAGGATGGGGCAAGGAGGCCGCTCTGTGCATAGGCTCCTCTGACCTCTGGCACACGGTGAGAAAGGCCACCTTAGGAACCAGCAGGTGACTCAGCACCCTAAGCCAGGAGCATGTGACGGGGACCCTGTGTCCCCCAACCAGCATCTGCATGTCACCAACCTGGCTGCCACTGGCTGAGCCAAGCCTGATGGGGAGCAGTGAGTGCCGGCGTGAGGGCACAGACCCCCGGCCGTGCGGTTAAGTAGTTCAGTGTCTCTGCCCCATCTCTGTCCCACCGCTGCATCTGTCTCTGTGTCCCTGTCTCTTGTGAAGTTGGTGTGACCACCGAGAGCTGTCACAGGGTAAGGATGTAACAAAGGGGCCCAATTCCCCGATGATGCCTTCCTGGACGCTGGTCTCACCTGATACCCCCCTAGACTCCACTGATCCCAGACTTGGGCTGAAAGGGGACACTTGGCCTTGAAATACCACATGATCCACAGGAAGGGGCCCACATAACCCCTGCTTAGTGGGGGATACCTGCCCCGGGTCCCTCACTGTTGTGAGCCAGACCGACCCCTGCACCCGCCCACGGGGCTCCCTGCATCTCCATCCACACTACCGGGTCCCTACACACCTGTGAGACACAATGAAACAAGTTTTCATTGCCAACCGTCCCTGACAGTTGCCAACAACTTAAAGCTGAAACAGTCACACAGATGGGCTGTCAGGAGAAGGTGACCTTCTGATGCAACCTTCCCCCCCGCCCCCCCGCAGCAGACCTGGCTCTGCTCCAGCCCTCACCATCTGAGGCTGCACATAGGGAGTGGGGCTCTGCCCAACTTTCTTGCACTAGAAAGATTTTTAAGAGACCTCGGTAAAACCGGTGCTTCCTGCTCTTTGATGTGCTTAAGGAAAAGAAGGTTTTCTTGTTGGAGAGCAAACACCCAGGAAGCAAGAACAGGCAGGAGCTGAAGGCCAAGTTCTTTATTGTTATTTGAAAATAACTAGCTAGGAGAACCAAAGAGCTTCCGGAGGGTTTGGATATATTACTCAATTGTCTTTAAACTCTAACAAAAAAGGGGGGAGAAGACAGCTTTATGTAAAGAGACGGTGAGTGGAAGGTGGAAAGTCGAAAATGCAGGCTGGTATTTTATTCTAGAAGAGTCGAGTGCATTGCTAACCACCTGACCAGGAAGGAGACATGTCACAGGGCTCTGGGGGTCTCCCAGTGACTGAGCTTAAAGTAAACAGCATGTGTGACAGAAGGCTGAGAGGAGACAACAGAGCCACCTGAAGCCCGCCACCCACGGCCCCAGGCTGGCCACAGCCTGCCCCAACGGCGGCCAGGGAGCACGAGCTCCAGAGCCCACGGGGCACATAGATGCAAAGCCATTCCTTGCGGGGAGCCGGTCCCGGGGACTCTGGCTGCTGGGCCTCCTCAGCCTTGGTGCTGAGGCTCTCGACTCTCCTCCTCTAGCCCCTGAGCTCAGCCCCCGAGGGCTGCCACCCCAGAGCACACAGGAAGGGTTTCTCCTTGGCTGCTGCCCAGAGACTGTGCCCACTGGGTCCCTGCCCTCCTCTGGGTGAGTGGACCCAAGAGTGAGACACTGTGGCCCTCCCTGGTGCCACACTCCCCAGGGGCACCTGGCCTTCCACTCCTGCTGGGGCCAGCTCACATAGAGGACACGCACAGAGCTTCCTAAGGGTTGGACTCCAAGTCAGGCCATGCTCACCCGTGATCCTGCGCTCGTATGGCTGACGCCAGGACCTGGGTCCAGACCTCACACCTGCCTCCAAACGCCACGTGGTCAGCTTGGTCCCCCCTGAGCCTGGAGGGGCACAAGCCATGCACCTTATCCTACTGTGTCTGCAGCAGGCCTTCTGTGGCTCACCCAAGTCAAAGGGAACAACACTGACTGCTAATGGCTTGAGGACAGAGCCCTGCATCCCATCACTGGAGACCTGTCTACATGTCCTCACCCCTCCCCTTCTTGCTGGAGGCAGTCAAACTGGATACGGGCCTTTGAGAGCCTGCTTGAATCCCGCTTTGCATCTCCTGTCAGGGCCCTCCTCAAAGGCCTTGTGGGTGCCGCCGTCCACTGTGTGTCCCTGACGGGGGTCTAGGAGTACAGTGTCAGGGTGAGCCTGAACCTGCTCTTGGAGATGTCCCTCCTGCAGGAACCGTAACTGGAGCTCAAGCTTCCAGGCTGGGACACCACAGGGATGGGGCCCCACTGACATGTCTATGGCGCCTGAGGGGAACCTCAGTGGGAGGCCTTCCTAGGGCAGGCTAGGGCAGCCCTCCTCAAGGGAAGTGGCTGGTGCTCCTCACATCACCCTCTCCCGGGGCTTCAGGGCCATCTGGCCTTGGCATCTCCCAACAGGGGTCAGTGCAGTGGGAGGGGCGCCCTCCTCACCAGGGCTTCCTCGACTGGCGCCTGGGACATGGGGTAGTCTCCACCTCGGCCTCCTTGGCACCCACCCTTCAGGCCACTCTGCTCTCTCAGCCTTCTCTGGACGGGACTCCCCACAAGTGGCCGGGGTGTCCCAGCACCTCCCGTGCCATATGGGGTCAGTGCTGTGTGGCTGGATGGCTTGTCCTGAGCTGTGTGTCCTCCAGCCTCATTCCAGGGCCCTGTCGCTCATGCTCTCTTGAATCTTGGTGGTGACCAGCAGGAGGGTGACTGGCACAGGGACCATGGCAGCCCCACTGGACGCCCAGGGGACCTGCTCTCCTGGACGGTGTCCTTGCACACCGCAGACCCGTATATGCCCGTCTCATCTCCTGAGGAAGGGGCCGTGGGTCCCAGGCACGGCATGGGAACAGAGCTTGTGGGCCACCTCCAGGCATTCCCCAGCATGGCCCCCAGAACCTCCCTGCTGCAGGCCAGACCGGGGACCCAGACACCCTGCCAACCCTCCCCAGAGCCACAGCTGACTTGCTTCTGGGACCCAGTGCTAGAGCTGCAGCCAGCAACCAGAGTGCGTGGTGCTGTGAGGGGTGGGACCCGCCCCACGCTCCTTCCAGGGATGCAGGAGGCAGGTGCGGGACCCCATCTCCAAAGGCCCGTGGATGCACTGAGAATTTCAGAAAGAGTACACAAAGTGGAAGTTGCAGGTAGGTTTCATGTCACAAACTTCAGGGGCTCAGTGAGCTGCAGAGCATCCCGTGGAGGGCGGCACCTCCCCTCCCGATGTCCGCTCCACCCCCAGCCAGGCAGCCTTCCCCATGGGGAGCACCAGCCAGCCAGGAGGGAGGGGCCCTGGCCCAGTGTCATTCCAGAACATGAGCCTCCCACGGACTCTCTCCCTTGAACCCTTCACTCCCTCTGTCCGGACCCTCTGAGCTTAGCTGTGCAAGCCAGCATCTCCCAGATTTTGTCCTGTGGCCTCAGTGGGGAGACAGCACAGGGCCCCCGGCTCGGGCATCACCTATGGGCTCAGAGCAGGGATGCGGGGCTCCATGTCCCAGCCTGCGACACCGGCCCGGTGACACTGCCCCCAGAACTTACCTGAGAACCCCTCCAAGAACGGACTGTCCACACGGAAGGAAGGGAGGAGGTTAAAATACTCTCAACCCACATGCAAAGCTGAGCATCCTTAAAGTATAGGACCCTGAACCACCTTTACAGAGAAAAGGATTCTCGACAGTCCTCTCACTCGCTTCCCTCCCCGCAGACCGGAGGGCCTCATCGAACGGGTAACGGTCCCGCTGTAGGGCGAGCGTGAACCCGTAGCCCGTGCACAGAGCAGCCCTGGGCCCCTTGGCTGTCCTACCTCGTTGCCCAGCAAAGCAGAAACACATGCTTCCGAGGCGTCGCAGATGGCTGTGAGGTCGTGGCCCCCCTCCAGCGCCAGAACGATCCGGCCGCCCGCCAAGCCCATCAGCTGCTTCGTCAGGTACCCGAAACCTGCAAGAGGAAGCGGGAGATGCACGCGGAGGGCGGGGGCGGGCTGCGAGCCGACGTCTGGCCGCCGATCAAAGCACCCAGAAGCGCATTACATCACATTACAGAGACCCAGGGGGCCGGCGCTCCGAAACCTAATGGAAGCCAGGTCTGCCTGGAACACAGTCATTGAAGAATCTCAGCTCGGGATTCTTTTTGATCTGTTTGAGAGGAGGAATTACGGTTTGGGTGCTTTGATTTTATAACGCCGCAAATCATCTCATTTGGGGGAAGGAAGGAAGGAACCCCAGGAGGAGCCCTCAGCTTCCTGCTGGGACCGCGGAGGGGGGAGCATGAGTGTGTCCCCACAGCTGTGCCCACGCAGCCTGGGGACCAGAGGCCCAGGGGTTCCAGTCAGCAGTGCGCTGGGCACACACACCCCTGGGCGGGCCCCTCCAGGACTCTCACCCCATGTCCAGTGGGTCTGGCTTTCCCTGACAAGCACAGCACACCCCCTGCACTCACACCTCCTCCTGCCCGCAGAAAGTGCCTGGCGGGTCACAGTGATTACCATGCGCTTTGTCTCTGACGGACACAGGGATGCAGGCCCCAAGGCTGCCATGAGGACCCTGGGTACACCCCAGCCTATGCTTCCCCTGAATGCACCTCTCACAGAGGGAAGGTCAGTGGCTGCCCCAAATCGGGTGCATCTGGGGCCACCGATCTCCCACAGCGTCTGCTTGCTTGGTGTCTGTCACGTTTCTGTAATTCTCACAATGTTTTGAACTTGTTCATTGTTATGAGGCTGCGGTGATCCCAACTCGCCTACAGCTCATATGACGTGAGCACATTTTTGCAACAAAGTCGCTTTCAGTAAAGGTTGCACCTGCACAAACCTAACACACTACCTTGGGCCGTACGCATCCCTCTTTGGTGCCCTGGGAGAGCGCGAGGCCACCTTCTTGGCTGCACTGCTGTACCCACTTTACTGCGGGGCCGCAGGACAGAATCCCCCCTAAGTCAGGGGGAACCCGGGGGTCTTGAACACAGATGGCAGCAGCTGGCTGTGCACGGAGGGGTGCTGGGCACACAGCTCCCTTTTGATCTTCTGCTGGGCCACTGCATGGGCTACTGGGGGCTCGGAGGTCCATGCTGGAGCAGAGCCCCCAGGAGAGCAACCCTGTGTCCTGGTCCACATGGCCCCGTTGTGTTCCCTCTGCTCACTGGGGCGGCTGGTGCGCTCATGTTCCTGGTAAGACATGATGAGGAGAGCCTCCTCCCGTTGTTACCAAAGGGGAGGCTTGAAACTAACCATAAACACAGCAGAATCCAGACTGCTCCTGGGCCATCTGCAAACCCAACTTACATTTGGCGGACAGGTTGTAGCCACCGAGGGGCGTGGGGTGGCCCTCCACAGCGTCGAAGCCTGATGACACGAGCACCACATCTGGGGCAAACTCATTCGCGATGGGCATGACCACGGTCCTGAAAAGGAGAAGGTGACATGGGGTCAGGTGAGGACACGGCCATGGAGGGGGGTGGACGGCCACTGACAGAGCCTGCCCTGTCTCAAGGTCAGCAGGGTGAGGGCTGCACGTGGGAGCTGGGATCTCATGGCTCACACTCGGGAGGAGGTCAGCCCAGTGTGATCATGGTTCATCCCGCGGATATCCTAAATGTCCAAATCAGTAAGCCCCAGTATAAATGCCCAGCAAAGCCATGGCACAAGGATTCTTGAGGAGCCCAGCTGGTTTGTTGGAGGTGACCTACAGCCCCACCCCAGCACCAGCTGTCCGTGCTGCTGAAGGTCCTCCCCACCCCCATCCCTGCCCATCCTGTCTCACTCCCACAGCTGCGGGCGGCTGTCCCAACCCCTGCACTCGTTCTAGATGGCCGATTTGAGACAGGCACGGCCACTGACTGCCCCCAGTACCAGGGACCCAGAGCTGTGTGTCTGGGGAGGCAGGGGAGCCCCTGAGCAGCCCTGGCCTGGAGGGGGTCCTGGTGTGTTCCTTCCACCCACCTGCAGCCACAGCAGCAGCCCACGTGATGGGGTGACCACAGGCATGCGTGCGAGCGTGACTGCCAGGCTAACCTGACACACGGACCCATAAAGGGACAAGTGGGGATCAGATTTAAGAGAATAGATAGGCTAAAAGTGTAAACACCCAGGGAGAAGTTCAGCAGTTTAGGGATACTGGGGAAACAAGGAAAACTGCCCACTTGAAAAGTAGAAAAAACACTGAACAGGAAACAACCACGGCAAGCAGAGTCGAACTCCATCAGCTCATCCTACAAATGCACACTCTGAGCTCTGTGTAAGTATCATGACGAGAAGCTGAAAAATTTCATCTTTCAGTTACGCTTGCTTTCTTTGATTTTTAACCCACCACCTTGGACTCCAGAGTCTCCCTCCTCCCTGTGGGCAGTGTGCCTGCAGTGGGCCTGGAGGTGGCTCGCTGTCACCCACACGCCCTGCATGCGTAGGCCTCCTCTCTCACTTGCCGTCACGGGAAGCCCAACTCTCCCTATCTCCCGCAGGCTGGACTAGGTTTCTGTAGCATCAAAGACCTGCTTCCCGCTCCCACAGCTTCCAAAGGCATACAGTCCCGCAATCACCTCTGACTCTCAAGTCGGTCAAACGCGTGCTCAGAGGCCCACACGGGGAGCTGGTCGTAGGCCCCTGGCCTGGCCCATTGTCAGGTCAGCAGGAACACAAGGGCCAAAGCGCAACAGGGCTGGGACAAGAGCCTCCACAGTCTCTCAGGCCTTGTATTACAAAACAAAATTTGCCCTGAAATCCGCCCTTTATGTCTACAAAGTCAACTTCATAAAGCACCAGCATTGGCCAATGCAAGAAAAATTCGCGGTTTCTCCTCTCGGAATGATTCCAGACTGCGATCCTCTAGAGCAGTCCCTCTGGTTTCAGGGGGTGAAGCGATGACTCTGGAACACTACACAGGAAGTTAGGATCCCACCACCCATCTCTGCAGGAGGTGTGGGACACGCATGGCCCATTGCTCGAAGACCCCGCCAGCAAGCCCCTCTGATCAAGTCAGGCACTGAAAAGGTCAGCTGTACGGACAGGCACCAGCTTCACACGCGGGTGCTCGGCCAGCCAAGAACCTCACTTCTAGAACCCCAAACTGGGTGGTCACAGGCCAGGGTTGGCTCCCGAGCCTCACATGGCTCTCACTTCTCTCTCCTCTCCTCTGAGGCCGTGCCCACTTTATGCAGCCGCCTCTGGACGGCGTCTGCTCCAGGCTGTGCAAGTGGCCGCAGAAGACCCAGGTCTGTGCCAGGGGGCCAATTGTCAGGGGCTGCGGGAACATCCCGTGACTCCTGACCGGGGAGCAGCAGACATTCCCACCGACGGCCAGAGAGTGAATGTCGTCCTTGGGCCACAGGACCTGGGGCCATGACTCATGCTGCCCTTGTTGTTGGGAAGCGGCCATACCCGTTCGTGAACATGTATGCGTGGTATGTTCCTATAAATCTCAAATGGTGGGATGTGGCCCAGGCCCACTTTAGACTCCTATCACGCCAACTCTGGAAGTTCTTTAGCGTGCATACCCACCCCGGACTGCAACATGCTTCCCCGTGTGCACTGAGACGCCATGGAAGTCCTCAGGTTCTGTCAACAGAAAGTGTGCCCAGAGTCTCTGAAGCAGACTGCTCGCTTCAGGGCCCACGCCGAAGCGTGGGCTGACAGTCCTGCCTTGGCGGCTGGAAGGTAGAAGCCTTCTGAGAGCACCTCAGGAGCCGGGGAAGGTTCACCCTGCGGCTGGAGACGCGGCCTGCCTTCCTGCGGGAGGCCCCGTTTTCCCTCGGTGGCACCCAATGGCCAGCAGGTCCGGTCTACACTTGCCCATGCCCTTCCAGACAGATGGTTCTTTGATTATTTTAATGTAGTTCCTGTCACAGAGACTTCGTCTTCAGGCAGAAGAATGGTTTCAGCCCTGCGTTTGGTGTGATCTCACCACCAAGACCTTCCTTCCGTGACAACCACACATGCCTGTTTAGACACCGGCTCATTCCCAAAGTGCCTCTGCTTTTGCAGCGAGCACATGCGGTGGGCCTAGTTCTCCGAAGGACCTCCGGGCTAGTCCGTTTCTAATCCCCCCACAAAATTACAAAAAAAGCCCTGTTAAAATCATCATTAGAGGAAGTTAGCCCCAAGAGAGCCCCTGGCGTCTACACTTGCTGTGTGGCATGGCCGCGAAGCCAATCAAAACAACATGTGAAAGCCCGTGTCTGTGTGCACGAGCAGGCCACGGGCCCACCAGCCACGCACAAGCACGAGCTGCTCATGCGTGCACACACACTCCAGTTTCCTGGTTTGGAAGCCTCCGGGTTGTCCTCTCAGTCACTTGTGGAGGCTGAGAAGGGCTGCAGGGCTGCTGAGAGCCGGGTGCGCAGAGCGGTCTCCAGGCCAGTTTTCGGGAGCCCTGAGAAATGTCACTGCCCCTGGAGGGACTCTGCTTCTTCACCTACAAGAAGGGGGCTGGACGTGGCTGATCCCACTGGACTTCTTGAAACCCCATGTCATCATCCCGCTCAGGACCCCCACACTTCAGAGATGTCACAAAGGAAATGTGAATCTGGCCTCTCTTGCCTTTTATTTCTAGAACAAAATTTTAACAAAGAACTTAGTCTGTGATAAGAGATCTAAATGTTTACAGCAGCCCTTCTCTCAAACCATCACTTTAAAGGCAGTGTTTCTGTGGGGCCATCTCAGACCTCCCACAGGGCAGCCTGGGGCCAGAGTGGGTGGGTGAGAGCTCCCCAAGGCAGCAGACCGTCCACTGTCCCCTGAGAGGCAGGAGGAGATGGGCTGGTATCCATACTTGGTGCAGCCCTTACCGTAGGAAAGCAGATATCACACAGCTCTCAGGAACACCACCATCAACACCACCATTGTGTCCCCTGAGGCCCCCTCTGTGTGTCCTGGCTGTGGGGCGGGCGCTCAGGGGACAGAGCAGTCTGAGGGACAGAGCCTGGGCCTGTCTGCTTGCTCCTCCTGGGAGCAGCCCCGGGACACTGCCCACTCCCTTCCTTGGCCTTGTCGGGGCTGGCAGCTGGTGTGCTCTGCACGGACACAGCCCACCCCTCACCCCTGTAGCTCATGGGCCACGCCATGCACCTCCACGGAGGAAGGCCGCGTGTCCAGGATGGGTGCGAGCTGTCACAATAGATGGGGTGGCATGAGCACCATTTGCGAGTCAGACGTGCGCCCACTGTCAGTCTGGGGCTGTTCCGCGGCCGTGATAGTGCTGGGCACGTTCATGGGGCACGCAGAGCTAACAGCAGGTTTTTCGTAAGCCACCAGCGGACATCAGAGTATGCAGGGTGCACGAACGTGTCTCCAAAACCACAGGGAGTCTGAATGCAGTCACCTGTTCAACAGTTGGTTTCAGTTTCTGGAAGGAAATGGCCTTTTGATTTGTCTCCCAACCTGGGCCCAGCACAAAGCGCACCAAACTCATGGTTATCGGAGGCCACTGGGCCCATGGTGCTGTCATCGGGGCTGTGCCCACCCATGCCAGAGAGCACCTGGGGGGCGTGGGAGGGCAGACCAGGGCCTCCAAGGGCCCTGGTCCCACGGTCCACACCGCTGGCCAACAAACCTCTCCTATCATGAGGCGCAGGAGAGCCCACACGGCAGAGGCCGCAGCTTGGCGTCTGCAGCTGGAGAGTTCACGGGAGGTGGAACCGCCCAGCGGATGGATGACCGCCGCTCCTGAACGGACGGACCCCGTCTCCCAGGAGACTGGCACCCTTGGTGGCTGACGGCACAACCTTAAGAACCACAGCATTTGATAACCGGGAACTCCTCCTGTTGTGTGCTGTGCAAACCCTTGCTTCCAGGTCCGGGAGGGGCTGGCGTGTTTGCGCTCAGTCTGCGACCTGCACAGTGGGCCCAGCCTCTGAGCAGCATGGCCCCGAGGCCCTGGGAGCGCCACATCACCGGGCCCACCAGGCCCACCAAAGATTCCAGCGAGTCAGAACACAGACAGAAATGGGAACCCAGCACTATGTTCCGGCTGCCCCCGACAGTGATGCCCATCATCCTGTCCACCCCATGGGCACTGTGGATGGTGAGACTGAGTAGGCCCCCAGGGCAAGGCCAGACACTGGGCCAGGCCCTTGGCCGACCCATTTCCTCTATGCCCCAACCCCACACCCCCGATAGCCCCTGGCCCCAAATGCCTCCCGGCTCTCTGTGCAGTGCTCACCCAGCCCTGGTGATGCTGGGGCGTCCCTCCTCTCTCCCTGCCACCCCCCACCACCAGGAATGAACAGCAGGGGCAGTGCTGCCTGCTGAGGCCGTCCCACAGACCCACGACTGGCCCGAGGAGCAGTCTCTCCCGGGCCGGATGCCACAGCCCAGTCCTCTCCCAACTGCTCCCCTCATCTTGCTAGGAACACAATCTGGCAGGCCAGTGCAGTGATGGGGTGCTGGGACACATGCCCACGTCCCCAGAGGTGGCCCCACATGCCCACGGGTTCTCTGCCTCAGTATCCCCAGGTTCCCTCCGTGGTTCCTGCCCCACTCTTGGCAGGACTTTCCCTGATGAACTCAACTCCAAGCAACAAGTGTTTAGGACCCGAGTCCCCCAAAAAGCTCCCACTAGATAGCTATGGAACGGCCAGATGTTGGTCGCCTCGGCAGAGCCCTTGACATGCTCCCTGATGGGCAGGACCACGGTTCTCGTCCCCAGAGATGGCCTCACATGCCCACAGGATCGCACCTGCAGGGCTCCTCCCACGGGGAGGACTAACACCCTGTCCCGGGCTCATTCCTCCAGGATTCAGCCAGGAAGCTTCTGTCCTGCCGTGGGCAGGTGTCCCAGCACCCCATCATTGCACTGGTCTGCTCTGTCCCACCGCTGCGCCACCCTCCAGGAAGGGGCTGGACGTGTGCATGCACTCTGCTTAGAATCACCATGGGACGTCCTGGGTAAAACATCCACATGGGAAAAGACTTGGATGCCCTTCGAGAGACATAACTGCCTTTGGTAAATGAAGTCCAAGGGTTGGCATCCGATGTCTTCACAACGGCATGTCCCAGATGGGAGGTGGAGCCTCTAAGGACTGGTCTGGGCGCTGTGAGCGCCGCTGAACAGCATGTGCCACGAGGCTAAGACGGAAGCATTCTGTGCATTTCACCACGACAACAAAAAAATATTTTTGTTTTTTGTTTAAAAAAAAAAAAAAAAGCTTCCCTAACCGCCCAAAACACCTTATGGAAGTAACAGAAGTTCAAAGAGCGTCAAACTTTAGGTCATGCTTGAAAGGTTGGGGGATGTGAAATCAATCTGCTCGACTGCTCAATTTAAAGGCAAATCTCAGTGCATTCAAAGATTAAAGTTACCACTTCCAAATATCCAGTTTCTCTGACATCTTTGATAAACTTTATAAAATCACATTTAAATGAAAGTCACAATTTAGAAGCACACGTAATCCCAGTGTCATTTCCTGACGGCACGGGCGACCTGCTCGCCCCCAGACGGCAGGCAGGCGAGGGCTGAGAGTGCACCGTGCTGTCTGTCCGCCTAGAGCCCTCGCCTGGGCTCGGCAGACTTCAAAGCCCGTCTGACGGCACGCTGGTTTGAATTAGGTTCGCCGTTTCTCCTCGATCTGAGCCCGGGGAGAAAGTGCCGCTCCTTCTGGATTTCATTAGGAGCACCTTTCTTATCTCTTCTTCATCTCAGGCTTGATCTCCTGAAATGCAACGTGGCAGGCAACGGGTCTGAGTAACAAGGTGCTGCCCCCGAGGCACACAATGTCCCCGGGGGACCCCCCGACCAGGGGGAGAAGCACAGAAGAAAGGGGAAAGCGGATCCTGACCCTTCTTCCCCCATCGATCGATACCCAGGGAACCATAAATTGTAAACTTCAAAGTGCTATTTTACATTAAAATCAATAAAAAAAACCCCAATCCTGAAACAATTTTCCTTTTCAAAGGAGCTATTTTAGCTTTACAAAGTTCATTTGATAAGGTATCATCGTCTACACGCTTGGCAAAAGATGAAAACAGAATGTCAACAGCAACTCAGAGCGAAGGGTTCATCTTAAAGCCTGGCCCAGGGCGGGGGTCTGGGGTGGGGGTGGGGGGTCCCTGGGGCTGAAGGACGACCTCCCGGAGCCAGGCGTTCCCATGCTGGGACCAGAGCACCTAAGGGACGTGGTCCTGTGGAAGCCCGGCTGTGAGCATGCAGAGCCCCCCACCCCCAACACTGTATCCCAGTCCTAGCACAGCGCCACCCTCCGCCCATGCCAAAGCTGGCCCTGTGGGTGCCCCAGGCTGCCTCATCCCCACAGGGCTTCCACCTCTTGGGCGGGAATAGGATAAAGGGGTGCTGGCCGCAGGGTGCCCCCTGGACAGCCGGGAGGACCCCGCTGCTGGTGCTGCACCATCTGGACCTCGAGTTGCTGGCTGGCAGGCGACCGTGTATACTGGTGAACTTCCAGATGTTGTACTGTTTGGGGGTGTCCCTCTCCCTTAAATTAGACAAGCAACTGCCAGAATTATATTCCTTCTGATCAGGAATAAAAAGAACCATCAATGTTAAACCAATGAGATGAGAGGAAAAGTGATACAGGGGACGATCCCGGCAGAGAAGCAGTTAGGGTGGTGCTGGGCTCCGACCTGGGAACACGGCCGCCCTGCCCAAGAGGCTACCCTCCTGCCCTGCCTCGTCACACCTGAGCTGTTGCTTCTGTGAGCCATGGAGCAGCTGGGAAGGGAACTTCCATCCACAGAGCAACCCGTGTGCTCAAAGCCAACCACCATGCTGAGTTTAGACAGGAGCCAGGAGATGCTGTGAGGGCTCCTGTGGCCCACAGAGGTCCCCACAGAGCAGGGGGCCATGGCTCCAGCAGAACGCTCACAGACCAGTCCCTGAATGGAGTCGCACCACCAGAGACACGCACGTGCACACGTGGGCACACCTGCACGCATGCCTCCACATGTATGGCCACGTGCACACGTATCCGCAGACACACATACACACGTGTCCACAGAGCCGTGTGCATCACCCCAGAGCCCATCTCTCCAAACTGTGCAGATGCCCGTGTCTGCTGGGCACCAGGAGGGGGACTGGAGCCACGGCCCCAGATGCGTCCGCGTGTGCAGGAAGAAGAGAGCAAGGCTGGAGAACATCAGGAAAACGGAGCAAGAGCTGGGGACGAGGCAGCGGCACTCGATTGCTTTGTGACTGCCCTGCGGGACAGAAAGCCAGGAAACTCACCTGAAGGCCGCCAAGTACTCCGCATCTCCCATGGGGGGGTCAAGGCCACCAGTGAAAGCCATGTTGACATTGAAGCCCACGCCTGGCCCCGTGCCCACCTGCGTGGAAGAGAGAAGCTCCCATCACGGACCCTTGTCCGGAGACCCATCAGGGCACCCGACCCTCGGGGCCCCACAGCAGAGTCCCCATGGCCTTTAACTTGCAGACTTCCCCAGTGGAGCGTGGTCACAGAATGCGGGGCTGTCGGCCACTCGCAAGTTGGGGAGCTCAGGGAGCTGCCCAGCAGCGTGGGAAGACCGACAGCGAAGCCTTGCAGACGCCCATGGGGGGCACCCAGAGAAATCCATGAATGAGGCCGTCCTTCTCTACTTCATTCCAAGAAGTAAGACCCAGAATCTGTGGACACCCTTCCCCTGGGTGCTGGGGCCCCTTTGTTCAGGGAGGGCAGGCTCTGCGGGGGGATCCGGTGTCACAGAGGACGCTCTGAGCCCAATCCCCCCTCCCGTGTGGCCCCAGACAGGTACAGGACAGCACTGGCGCCCCACCTGAGGGATGGACAAGCCCAGGGGCCCAGAGGAATGGCGGGGGGTGCCCCATGCCTACTCTCGGTCTGCCTAGATTAGAGCCAGAAATCAGGTCTGGGCTGTCTTTGAACTTCAGACAAAATAAAGGCTGCGCGCACACACATGACAGAATACCATCTGACCGCTGCCGGAGATGGTGTGCAGTGAGCGTGAGCAGGAGGCCGGGGCTCGTGTGTGTGCAGGGCTGGGCATCCTGGGGCTCTTACGTCCCAGGCAGCCCCACCTCGGCCCTCCCGGCGGGCCGGCGCACCAGTGGGCAGCCCCTGCTTACCTCGTCTGGAGCCCCGCTGCCTGGAAAGAAATTCCCGTCATCATAGCGGTGGAGGGAGATGTACAGGACGTTCGGGTCGCTGTAGAAGGCCTGCTGGGTCCCATTCCCATGGTGCACATCCTGCAAGAGTGGGTAAAGCGGACTCAGCACCGGCACACACCTCCAGCAGGGCCTAGAGGGAGCGGGGATGAGGGGACCAAAGGAACAGGCCCCAGGTGTGTCCTAGCCGGTCTTCCTCTCCTAGGACCACCGACTTCCACCAGGCCACAGTGTGCGCTGGGACGAGCTGTTGTGAGTCACGTGCTCATGGACTGTACTGCACTTGACGCCAGGCTCACGGGGACAAAGGTTCCAGCCCACTGAGGGCCAATGCTGGGCAGATTTCCCTGGTGCCCCTGGGCCTCAGCCACCTCAGGGCCCCATGCCCAGTGCCCAGCACTGGAGCTTACTGGGTATGCCGGGCTGTGTGGTGTTGCCTTTCCCAAATGGAGAAGAACCCTGTAGTATGTGGGATAATCCTTCCTGGGCATCTGCTTTCTTTTCCCCTTGAGGCAATTATCAAATCATAAAGACTGAACTGAATAGGGAAAAAAAATAAAATGAACCCTTTTGGTGTCCATTCCCAGTGTCAGAAGCTGGAGGCTTGTTTTGGGAGTTCAGATACTAGACACAGTGTTTGTAAACTAGAGTTCACCCTCTCGGGGCAGGGGGACCGTGAGAAGCAACATCACCACAGGAAAACAGGAAAGAGGCTAAGAGCATGAAGGGGTCACCGGGCTGAAGTGGGAAGGCCGTTTCTGCCAGGAGGGACTGAGACACACAGTGCCACCACATCTGGAGTGTGAGAGGTGGACACGGACACGTGAGTTCATAGCTGTCACAGCTACCCCCCACCCCCCTCACCAAGCCTCCTCTCAACAAGGTCTCGCCAAGGATCCTCCTTCTGTTGCTTCTCTCAACCACAGGCCCATTTCCAGACACTTCCAGGCCCAGCTACCGGCAGGACCAGCTGATGGATGTGAGGAGGCCTCGTGACAGGTTTGAGCTTTTGTTTTCTACATTTCAGGTAGTTTCCAGAAAGTTAAGGTCTCCAAATCTAATGTTGATGGAAGCAGAAAGCCCACCTCTTGTCTTCACATGGGATGCTAACTGCATGGGGAAGCGCATGGGCTCCCCAACCCCCGCCCCTCTTGGGGAACAGGCCCCACTCACCCAGTCCACTATGAGGGTCTTGCTCACGTCCAGCCGCTGCTGGAGAAGCTTAGCTGCGATGGCCACGGAGTTAAAATAGCAGAAGCCCCTGCAGGTGAGCGGAGACAGAAGGAGAAGATGGGCTCTCACTGGTCTTCACATAATGTGCGGCAGAACCGTCTGCAGGCCCAGGAGAGTTCAAGACTGTCTGCTGAAGGCACAGCTCCCTCAATTGACACTACCAATCGACAGATGGGCCCCCCATGTCCTCCCCCCCACCTCATGCACATGGTCATGCCCCGTGGTGAGAAATCCGCTCCATGATGTACATGCGCACCCCACTCCCTGGCCCGGATCGCTTGGCAGCCACTCGCTGACCAGCCTCCGTGGGGCGCTGCGCTCCCCAGGCGCGAGGTCACCTATCCAACCTGCTTCCTGCTTATCTGTCTGGGCATACAGACGTGCAACGGTGAGCACATGTCGCTCCCGTGAGCAACAGCAGAGTCCTCTTCTTCGAGAGTGCAAAAACACGCCAACAATGGGATTCGAGTAAAACCGACAATCTTCTAACCCTGACCATTCCCCTTGCCTGAATTACTGCAGAAACAGGGAAACCTGGGTGGTTTTGTTTTGGGAACCCAGGCAAGCAACCTATAAGCCCCCCACAGTGGGACGACAGGCTCTGAGCTGCTGAAACCCACAGCAGCAAGGGCACGTGCATCCCAAACACGCCAACAGCTTCCCCAACATGCTCCTTTGTGCTCCGTCTGGGTCCATTTGGGTTCCTGCTCCAGAATATCCAACAACTTAGAATCAAATGAGCAAGCTGCCTTCAGAGGAAGGAAGCACACAGGAGCCTGTCCCTAACCGCAGAGAGGGTTCTGAGTCATGGCGTCACCGAGCCCCAGGGTTTCTCAGGGAAAGCAGCACAATCTAACCCGAAGCAGCTCTTGGAGCTCACATGCACCCCCGCCTTGCTGGAGAGGAGAGTCCTTGCTCAAACCACGGTCCAATGCCCTCACTTCCGGATGCAGAGGACAGAGGGCTCCTGCCTGCCCGGGAGCCAAAGTCCCAGCTCCTTCAGGAATGCAGGTTCAGCCTGCGGTTCCTCAGCCTGGTTCTGGCCGCTCCTGACCGGGCTCCAGAGTCCCCTCCCTGTACTCCTGGTTTCCCAGCTGAGCTCCGTCTGCACGGTCCTTGCTTTGCCGTCTGACCCACAGCTACTCATTCCTCAGGGGAGAGCCCAGATGTCACCTCTCCCACCTCCCACAGTGCCCGTCCTGCTCGCTGGACTGGTTTCACAGATCCCATAAGAAGCCGGGTATTGCCCACCTCCAGGCACCCAGGTACTTGGTGCACAGCTGGTGAGGCCCAGAGTCAGGTCTCTGGGACCCTGTCCCAGGCGGGTCCCCACCCGCCAGTGCCTCTCCCCGGGGCAATCCGCATGCCACACTTGCTGCCTCGCCAGCTCCACAGGTGCACGCACAGTAGGGCTATCAGAATCCCACCCAAAGCCAGGTCAGCCTCAGCCGTACCAGACCATAAGCAGGTTAGCTGGACGGCCACATGGGGTTTGGTCAGAATGTTCTAGAACAATGATGTACCACATGAACTTGTTCTAGGGCAATTTAAGTCTCCACCCAATTTTTTATAACAGAGGGAGGGCTGAGGAGACTTCTCCAGACTGATGTTTGCAAGTTCCTGGTTCGATTAGAAAACGTAACCCGCAGGCTCTGGAGCCACGTTTTCACTCAAGTGTAGCCCAGCCCTTTGAGAAGGGGAATCAGAACCCGGCACCCCGGCCCGCCACAGCCGTGTGTCTACTTACATTGGTGTGCTCTCCTCCGCGTGATGTCCTGGAGGACGGACCACGGCAAAGCCATTCTGCACACGACACCAGGTGGGGGGAAACAGGGAGGAAGAGGGGTTCACGTCAGTGAGAAAATGAGCACAGAGTGGACTGCTGGCAGGTTCAAACAAAGACACAGGCACACTCCTGCCCGCATTTGGCCTTAACTTGAACCATAGAAAACAAGCAACCCGTTTAGTCAGAAGCAGCAGCTCGGAGGCTCTCAGAGGCTGGAGAAGCTGCCCCTCCCCAGGACCTTGAAGCCACTGATGCTTTAAAGGGCTGTCTGTAAACCGCTCTTAGCCCTTGCGATGAAAATGACTTCAGTGGGCATCTCTCATCTCACTAGCAGGAAGCTGTGTGGTTGCGGCTGACCACGGCGCCCCCAGGGCCAGCTGACCTTTGAGAACGGGCAGTGGTGCTCAGCCGGCCGCAGGGCCAGCTCCGGGAGGTAGGGTGAGGGACAGGCATATGGGGCCCCACCTTCTGCACCCACAACGCTGCAGCACCAGCCCATCCCTGTGCACAAGCCCCATACAGTGGTTCTCGGAGTGCGGGCTGCAGACCCTCAGGGGGTCCCCGTGCCCCTGCAGGCGCCTGTTCTCCTAACCACCCTGACTCAGTCTGCCCTTCTCGCCCAGGTGCCAGGCAGCACGGTGGACTGCTGGTGTTGGGGAGGGGTCCAGAGTGTTTCCCCAGCATGCTTCTGCAGGGGAAATGCAGTTCCCAGGGGGAGCCTCTGATGCGGTGGGGACCGTGACTGATTTCGAGTCCCCACCCGTGGACGCGCACCTGACACCTCAAGCGAATGAAGGCGAAGTGCGTGTGGGGAGAGCCCATGGGTGTCAACAGGGGCCAGACTTGATCTTCCCTGTGAAGATGAGAAGCTGGGCAGACGTGCGTCCTGAGCCCCTCCTGACCCTCAGGGGACCCTTCTGACGAGACGCGCGCTGCTACTAACAGTCTCAAGAATCAGTGATTCCTGACACTGTAACAGGATGGGGCTGGGCTGCTGGAAGAGCTACAGAATTCACGAGCCTGTATTTCCCAATGGGGAGGATGCCGTGTTGCAAACGTCTGGTGTGGACAAGAGCTCCCGTCAGCCTGCTATACCCAGTGGGCTTCACCACGGCTGTTTTGGGGTCCACACTGCCACGCGAGGACCAGCGGTGGGGCACCAAGAAGCATCTCCACGGTTGTCCGAGACAGCGGTACAGACACCCTCTCTCTCCCTGAGTCGGGCCAGGTTCCTTTATGTGCCTCTGCGGAATGACAGGCCCCACAGACAGAGGCAGAAGCGGGTCTGGGACGGCAGCTCGTCCACTTGGATGGACATTACTGTTAGTTTCCCTTTCTCAGTCTGCACGTCTACTACAGTTAGCGGCGATGACACACTCATACACAAAGTCTCCCGGGGATCAGCAGTGGTGAGAGCGTCAGGTGTTCCCAAGACCCCACCCCCGTGAGCCGCCGCGCCATCCCGTGGACGCCACAAACATGGGGAGTGGTCCTGTGGATCTGCAGGGCCCACCTCTGCCCTGGGATAGGAGCTGTCCTCCCCATTACTGTCCCCCAGCCCAGGAAGCCCCTGGAAGGTTCCTCTCCAGGCTCAGATCTGCAGGGTGCTCACCGACCTTCAGCTCCCCTGTGGCCACCTTGAAGACCAGCTCGAGCACGCAGCCCACGGCCAGCCGGGCCGCCCCCGATGAGTGCACCTCGTTCCATATCGTGTCGCTGTCCACCTGCCGAGACAAGGGTCCTGCCTGAGGTGGCATCGCGGCCGCCACCCCTGCCCCCACTCCTACAGGGGCCGCACAGTTGGGGGCTCGCCAAGCCCGTGTGCGCCACCTCTGAGATCCCAGCACGCTGATGGCCCCACACGCTCACCTATTTGAAAATAGGCCAAAAATTACTAAATAGGGTAAGAACCCTAAACACAGCAGGAATGAAACATGCCCTTCCCGAGGGCTCCCTGCTGTCCTTGCAGAGCATTGGCGTCATGGTCACCAAGCCCCTCGTGTGTCTGGTTTCGCCGCGAGCACAAGGAGCTCTCCATCTCTGCAGAGGGAAATGCAAGCACGGTGGGAATCGGGCCTTCCCGAAGGACGACGGCTGGACTTCACGCTGACTCTGAAACGCCGCTCCGGCTGTGGGACGAGTGTGCTGGCGCAAGAATGGGATAGGCGTGGGGGAACCGGCCCTCTGGGGCCCTCCTAGGGGGCCGCCCCACCTCAGACCCAGAGATGTGTATGGCACAGACGCACCAGGTAATTTCTGTTTGTGTTTTGGCGTGTTTACTTAGGCGCATTAGATTTCTTTCAGAGCTCTGGCTACTGTGGGTGTTAAGGACCGAGAAACTTCGGCAGGCAGTTCTGCAAGTCAGCGGGGGCAGGACTGGAGGGTCCAGATGAAGCACGCCACCCTGGGTGCCAGGTCAAGGGCACCCGGGCACCACCTCCCCCTATGGGGCCGCCAGAGGCTTGGCCAGGCTCACGTGCCCTTCGTGGGGATGCACCCAGCCCAGCGAAGGTTCCAAGGGGCGGTGCGTTCACAGGCTGGTTGCCTGTAACACGGAGTCCGCCGAGTCTACGTGAGAGCCCCTCCTTCCCAAATCAACATCCTCTGGGCACTGAACGCTCTGGGATGACAGGGACCAGGCAGCCCCACGCAGAGGTGATGCAGCCAAGCCTGTGCCTGCACAGGTCCGTCCAGAAGCCCACGGGCCCCTGCCCACCTGGCAGAGACATGGGTCATTATGCGGGGCGGACGGATTTCCTGCAGTGAATGCTTGAAGCCTCATCTTCAAAGCAAGATGACTGAAAATACATTTATGAGGGGTTCAAGCCATTTCCGGAGGAGCGGTACTCTGTGAGGGCTATGCTTTTCAATGACCAAACTTCTGTGTTCTTTAAATAGTTTCCAAATGTCCAAAGATTGCTCTGCACTTTGCCGACTCTCCCCAGCATTAATATTCAACTTTCAAAGCCTGGCTTCTGGTGTAATACACTGGTCTGCTATTCACGGAAGTAGCCATTTGAACACAACTGTCCTGGGCCAGCTAATTCAGCTGCAGAACCCGCTCGGTAACTTTGAAGGTGACAGTCCTTGGGCAGGAGTGGCAGGCGGGGCGTGGGTCCCACCAGCTGCTGCGCCTTCCAGGAGGGTGAGGACGTCTGGGGCAGGCCGGCCAGAGGCTGCACCCCTGAGGACTGAAGGCAGTTTACATGAACCTACCCAGATGATTTCTCCCTAGAACGTGAGGATTTTGGGAGGGAGGCTGGACAGTCTCCACATGCTTTGACGGCTCTCTGTGCTTGACTCCACGGCAGAAAGGGCCCCATGATGTCCTGCCTAGAGTGCGTGACCGGGTCCCAAGCTGTCACTGTCCTCAGAAAACCCATCAAGACATCCCGAGGCTTCAGGGCTGGAGTCCTCCAGCAGCTGGCCACCAGCTCCCTGCTGGCCCGGCCCAGGATGGCCAGGGTACAGCCCTGAGTGCCAGGGGCATGAGGCTCCGGAAGGGCCACAGTGGCAGTACGATCGGGCGCTAACGCAGGAGCGGCAACCAGAGGAAAGAGCAAAGGCCAGCTCCACGCTTCCCCACAGCAACGCTAGGAACAGGAGGAGGAAATACTGAGGCCGCTTCTGCAGATATTTATAAGGGCTGCACCTGGGGTCGCCAATTCTGGGCATATCATGGCCCTCAGGGAGCCACGGAGCTGGGGGCACAGCCCCAGGGCACCCAGGCCCAGCAAAAGGCCACACCCCTGGCAGGGAGGGGAATCCAACCACACCAGGTCCCCTGAAGGGGAAACTAGGGACCATGAGGAGGTGAGCAAAGAGGAAGTTTCTTTTATTTGCTTTGAAAAAAAGTTATAGTGATCCAAAGCCTCTCCTTAGCTCAGTTAAAGAGAAAAAGATATCCCAAACCTGAAATGCTAAACCAAAGTAACTTCCAGGAAAAGCGGAACAGCCTCCCCATCCATGTCACTACCCAGAGCGCCCACGCTCCCAACCACATTTTGGCTCCTGGGCTCTACTTTGCTTTCCTGACCCCCCGGGGCGGCCCCCCACATGGGGGACATGGTACCCTCCCATGAGCACTGTGCTTCTCCGCCCTCCCCGTACAGGTGATGACGGAAAACCACCACGAGAGGACAGTCCCTGAAACACGCTGTGGCTCATGTGGTCCACTAATTCATCCGCCTGGCTGGCCTTGGTGGGATGTCCCCCAATCTCCCTGCTCTGGAGCACGTCTGCGCCTGGATGTGAAGGTGGGTGTGGGTCAGTTTGCCGGGGCTGGGCTCCGGACTCACGCTGCGGGTGGGGTTGGGGGGCCGCCTGGCTCCAGGCCCTAGGCCTGACTATAGCTTTCATTTGCAAATTATAAATCCTGCCTTGCCCAGCACACTGGCTGCAGGGCAGCCGAATCCAAGCCTTTTCAAGTCTGGCCAAAAATTTGCCCCGAATTAAGAGATTGCAGCCTACTTACAATACAAAATAAAATAACTCTAGGGGTCTTGGTGGCAGTATGAGTAAATGCCGTTTGTTCTCTTTCTGACGGGATAATTTTCAAAGCAGCGAGTTTTGTAAAGACTCAGGAAGAAAACAATTTTGTTTCATTTCCATAACAGAATCCAGACCTTCAGCCTCACCCCGCCATCTGTAATTAGGCACGCGCTCTGCCGCTGCACAGCCCCGACCAGGCGGCCTCGCCGTCCGCGCCATCTGTCCTGCCTTGCCTCTCCGTGGCTGGCCGCACCCTCGCCTGCGCACAGAACTTCGAAGAACAGGTCCCGGGGCCTGCTCTGGCCCCTCTCCCTTAACAAGGAACTCTGGCTAGGGCCGCCTGACCTTGGCTGTGCCCCGGCAGGGGTGGATGCCCAGCCTGGAGCATCCTTCCCAGGTTGGCGCCCACAACTAGGTCAGGGAAAGCTGGGCACAGGACACCGGTTCTCCTAAGGGTCTGCCTGAGCAGGTCTGCTTAAGGGCATCACTGCTCGTGGAAAAGCAGCAGGCTCAGCCTGGTGAGCAGCTCTGCACACTGCACGTGGCCCGTACGCACCGTGCCCCCATGTCCTGAGCTTCAGCTGGGGCTTTGGGCCGGCAGGGGTGAGGGGTGTGCGCTGGGACCACCCACCCCCTTGCTCTACTGCAGGACAGATCCCTGGACTGAGCGACGGGCAGGCCATTTCTCCGTAGGTGAGGAGGGGACCCCACAAACCAGATCCCGTTTCCCGAGGTGACCGTGGGGGCCGGACGACCTTCCCGGAGGACGGTGCCCAGGTCCGGCCCCCCAGATGCTCCCAAGCCCCCAGGCCTTTGAAGCCACACGTGGGAGCGTGGGGCAGCCCCGCCTGCCAGACCCTGTTTATGGAAAACACCTGGCATCAATCATCCACTCCTCGGAAAACAGGGCAGAGACTTCTGCGGCCAATGGGACCCCGAGAACAAACAGGACATTATTTACACATTAAAGAAATACTTACCCCAACACCACCGCAGGGCAGCCTGACGAACACGGACGTTAGCGAGCCTGCAGGGAGAAGTACAGCCAAGGTCAGGATAGCAAGGTCACAGAGGCCCCGCCTCTATGGAGCACATGGGCTCTGGAAACGGGGTGCCCACGCGGCGCTTACGGACCATGTATCCACGGACCGAGGGGCAAACTGGTTCCAAGGGTACCAACCCATCACTGTGTGGTCGGCTGCGGGGGCTGCCCCAGGGTGGGGGGTGGCAGAATGGCTTGGGCGGAGAGACAGCCCCTGTGGAAAGACCTGGAATTCTCCATGGCCGCAGCGCTCCTCCGAGGCATGGGCCCCAGAGCTGGGCCTCTCCTTCCAGCCGGAGCTCACATGCATCCCTTGGAACAACCCGAAAGGCTGCGTCCCCAGCACATCTCGCTAACAAAAGTGACCTTGGCTCCTCAGGGAGTGGGCCCACTGGCCCTGACGCTCCCGGGTTTTGAGGCTCTGGTGAGCCCTTCAGACACCGAGGGCACTCTCGGGGATGTGAAGAGTGACAGCCCCTCCCCGTTTATAAACATTCTGTGTCCACCTGGATGGTACAAAGCTAAGAAACCATGTTGGAGCTGGCCATCCAGGAGCCCTTCCCCAGCCGGAGAGACATAGGGGCAAGTCCTCTCTCCCAAAGGGCTCAGCCCTGTGCCTTGGGGACAAAAAGACGGACTGTCCTCTTCCTCAATGTGACCCTGTGCTGGCTGACAACAGCCTAAAGCTCACCTGTCACAGGGGAGAGTCTCTGCTCCCCCACTAGGGTGACACTCTGGCTTGTGTGGCTGCTGCCCCGCCAGGGCTGACCCAGGAGGGCCTCTCTGCTTCTGGGCTACCCCCTGATCCCCACACCTTGCCCCATGGCCCCCAGGCCTCTCCAGGCAAGTTCCTCAAGCCATCTTCGGACTCTGCGTGCTCACTGGGGGAAGGCCCACTCCCAGCACCTTCTGCCTAATCCAGACCGGCTCCTGCTCTCGATGCTCAGGAATCCCACTGCTGGGGCCCAGGAAGGAAAGAGGTCTTGGGTCCCAGGACCCGGTCTGTGCCTACCTCAACCCAACTCTTGACAGGGACCACACCAGGCTCCAGGCCACCGGGGGCCATGTCGCGCACCAGGCTCTGGCCTACAACCTCCCACAGCTCCTGTGATGCTCACGCTCGCTGGGGCCACCCCTCCCCCACTGCCTCTGAACAGCCCTCATGCTGCTTCTACCTGTGCCCCCCACCCCCCAGCCCTCCTCCATGCCATGTCCGGCTGACGGGTCACTGCCTGGATCCATGGCTCCCGCTGCCATGTGCTCACGTCAAACGCCGAGCCCTCGTGTTCACAGCTAGCCCATGGACGGCAATACAGAGAGCTCTGAGCGGATGGGGGGCTGGCCGGGCAGGAGGCGGAATGCTGAGGAGGGCGGCCCCCGAGGGGCTGGCCCAGTTCCAACCATGACCCTCTGCAGGGAGCCAATAGGAGGGAGAATACGGGCTGGGGGGCAGGCCCGGGGCAGGAGAGGGCAGAGCTGCCAAGCTGCTGATGGTCCTGCTTTGTCCTATGTCCTGTAAGAGGCCTTACCGCCTAGGGCATTGACTGAAGCTCGGTTAGCGGCCCTGACAGGCCCAGCCTTACAAACGTGCATGGCCCCATGTGGCCCCTGGCGCCAGGGCTAGTCTCATGACGGGTTCTTCTTGCGTCACGGACTTTCCCGACACGGAACATGGCACTTTCTCCCAGGTAACTCCCAAGTCCGTGAGGAGGACTTCAGACACATCTGCGTGCCCAAGACCAACGGAAATGAGCTTCTGTGAAGACACTGGAGTTCTATTTTTTTGAAATTAGAGTCAATACTGTCTACATAACGTAAATCATCTAGATACTTGACTTGGCTCATTATCGAGCAACCGAAGATCAAAACAGTGAGGAAAGGTGGGCTCTCAGGCAACCCCGGGCGGGCGGTAAGCAGGAAGCTCTGCACAGAGGAGCAGTTCTAGAAACAGCTCCCATGGCTGTGGCAGCACAGCTCCTCTCACCTGCCCCTGGCCTCTGGCCCTCTCTGGCCTCCTAGACTTTGGGACCTAGGTGAGGCCACATCTGTCCAGAAAAAGGTGGCAGCTGAGGCATGAGGGCCACCGTGCTTTTCCCATCATGGCAGCTGCTGACAGGCGTGCTGGGAGGCCCGCGGGTGTAGGGAGGGCACTGGTGTTTCCTCACGTCGTGCCTGGAGTACAGGGCTCTTCTCTCGACCCTTCCAAGCATCGCCAGGCACCACTCAGCCACCTGACCAGGCCCCATTTCCAGGTGACTGCCATCAGGAGACACACCCTGACCCCAGGGAACCGTGAAGGCTGGGCCCCACACACCTCCGGTGCGTGCAGCCCTTGTCAGCCCAGCCGTGCCAAGTGGCATGACCTCAGTGACCACGCAGACCTTCTCGCTAACCGCTTAGAAATTTGTGGATTCCACGAAAACAGGAGGGCAACTCACACAGCAATGTTCAAATGCCCTATTAGGGTTGTTAGCAACACCTGAGATCATCGCCAACTTTACTATGTCTGGACCAGACGGTAGAACTCCTGGTTAGGACAATCTTCAAACATTTTTAAAAACCGGTCTCAGGGGGAGAGAAGGTAATCGGTTAGGTGTCCTTGTAGCCACGGGAATGGGGTTTTAAACAGTGGTTAGTAGAAAAGAAAGAGGAAACAATGATTTGGGATATCCTTGGTGTAAACGACATAAACATACATGTTCTTCACAACAGTGAAATGAACATGAAAAACATTCCAAGGCTGTGTCGGGGCCGGGGGAGAAATAGGGATGAGAACGATGGTAAGACATTTCAGCACAGTGGCCACAAACAGGAGAGGGGGCTTCAGGGACCAGTGATGCCGGCCTGACCTGAGAAGGGGCAACCCTGTCACTGACCTGGGCCCAGGAGGGGCCGATGAAGTCAGCTGCTAGGAAAGCTCCGGGCCCTACCTGCCTCACACTTCCCTGAAGGCCCCATGGGCACTTGTCTCTTGTTCCTCATCATCTGTCTTTAACCAAGTTTGAAACTAGCTCCGAGACCCAGTCCGTTCTCCTGCTGGTGTGCTCGAGCCCGCCTCTCCCAGCAACATGGAAATGGGTTATCCTCTCTCCAGTCGACTTCTCAAGTTCAGAGGACACAGGGGCAAAAGGCCTCTTAGGGGCGGCTGGAGTGCCCCGCAGCCTCTGGCCAGACACAGGAGGAGGGCCTGAACTGGAGAGAGCCCCGCCACTTAGAATGTGGGTAGGCCACGGACGCTGCACAGTGTGCTTGCGACAGAGCCCACGTCGGTGCCTCGGTGACAGCTGACACTGCTCTTGGCCATGAGGCCACCTGGCCAGGTCCTGGTGACCCTGAGGTCGAGGGCTTCCTAGTTCTATGCCTTGGCACCACTGATGACACCACGGGGCCCATGGGCTCCTCTCCCGTGCTAGAGAACCTTCCAGGCAGCCAAGATGCTGCCCTGAAAGGAGTGGCATTTCCTGACGGGTCCTGCAGGACTCTGGGGGAGCGGGCCTCCTGCACCCAGCCTCCTGGCTCAGCTCCGCCTGAGGCTGCTTACCTTCTCCCCACTGTCCGAGTCCTTGAAGGCTCCTTTCTGAAACCGTCTGGCCCTCCCGCTGGAGAGCCTTTCCTCTGGGCCCAGCTGGCACCTGTCTCATTTCTGGACATTTTCTGTCAGGTTCCCACCTCTTTGGCCCATAACCCCCAGGCCCTCCACCAGCCACTTGCCCTCCCGTAGCAGGGCCCCATTCTTCAATCTCCCCACACTCTAAGTCCTGCTCCATGATGGCTTGGGGGAGGGCCCTGGGCAACCCCTCCCCAGTCCCCTCGCAGCTGCCGTTCTGGGGGCATGCTGCAATCCACACGGTAAACACCCCGGGACCTAAGGCACAGAACACACCAGTCCACCTGTGTCCACAGGGAGCTGGGACCTATCTCCTGCCTCTGGCCAGCTGTCCCCACACTTTTCCTTATGGTTTCATCTCCCGTGTTGTACCCTAAACAATGGCTGGGCTTTGCAAAACCTAGTAGTGAGCACAAATCCTGTGTGAGCGGAGAACAAAAGTGTCTCTGGGAGGCAATGGGTCCCATGACAGGACAGGTTAGAGGGGGTCTCTGGCTCATACTCTGGGTGGGCTACAGACCAGATCTGCAACATGGCCGGAGTGGTGAGTGGCTCCGTATGTTCTTCTGAGCACTCGGTTTCAGCCCCACTTTCAGGGATGGAGGTCTTGGGTGCCAGCAGTGAGCCCCCAGCCAGTGCATGAGGCAGGGCCTGGAAGGGGCAGGAGGAAGCCTGGAGAGCCAGGAGCAGGCCCACAGGTGGGCTCTCAGCCACACTGCTCTGGGCACTTCTACGTGTGGAACAGGGCTGCCTCCTGGACCTGCCTTTGCCATCCCAGGGGGCCTGACTTCCCTGACTGCCATGCAAAGCTCCCACACTGCCCTTCTGATGCCCACTGCGGGGGGGACGTTATAAGGTGGGAGACAGTCAGGTCAATGAGGGTATGGCCCTTGGGATGGAGTCAGCGCCTTATCAAAGGACCCCACCAGGCTCCCTCCCTTCAGCCCCCAGGGAGGACATAGCGAGGCCTTGCAATCTAGAAGAGCCTCCACCCACTGGGCGGCACCCCAATCCCGCCTTCCAGCTGCCAGGACTGTGAGCAACAGATTCCCGCCGTGGACAAGCCTCTGTCTGCGTGGTCGGTCATGGCAGCCGAATGGACGCGGCAGGCTGGCTCTCCCGCCCGTGGCCCAGCGTGCACCCTCTGAGTCTCCCTCCGCACTGGTGCGGTATGTCCTCTGGGAGCCCAGAGCAAGGATGCCTGAGGGCATGGCTCCTGTTCCTCCTTGCCCTTCCTGGCTGGGCCACAGCTTCAGGCCAGGATGAGTCTCTGCCCAACACTGGTGTCGTGGGGCATTCCCCTGGAAGCTGGCGCACCTCACCAGTCCCCGCTGTTCTAAGTCTGTCCCTTCTGCTCCTCGGAGGGCTGGGCAGCGCAGCTTGCCTGGTGGTTCTGAGATTGGCTCCTAATGGCTCCAAGATGTTCTCTTCCCTTCCTCTCGGTTTCCCTGGGAGCCCCCAGGCGCCAGGAACGCTCCTTTTTCCTCTTCCTCCCGTGTTCCAGAGGACTGATCACACCTACCCCGGACTGGGACTCTCTAGTCCCTCAACGGTGTCTGATGGGACTTTCTTTAGCGCTCTGGGTCTCCTCCCTCCTCACTGCTCTTGTCCATGTTACGTGGTCGTGGTGGCTCCTCTCTTTCAGGGTAGTGAGACAGTTCTGGTTTCCTCTGGTATCATCCATCTTGCCCAGAGGTCTGTCCTCAGAGCTGCCCTGTTTCAGATTCACTCTCCCCAGAGAAGCACTTCCCCGGGCGTGGATAATCCTCAGGCATCTGTTCCTCAGGCGGAGGCCTAGAAGCCGCTGGGAGTTCCAGGCACACAGGGGGCTTCTGAACTGTGGGTTCCCTGCTGGGCATCCTCACGTCAGCTTCTGCTATACTGGTCACGCTATGAAGTGGGGTCTGGACTGTCTTCCAGGGGACAGGGTCTGCACGAGGGGAGCCCAGCAGGGAGGGGAAGCGGGAGGTGGGCTGGTGCCTCACCCTGCTCTGTTCCTGACATCCATTCCGGCCAGGGAGCCCTTTGCCCTTTCTGTCCAGGGTGTGGGAGGGCATGCCTCTCAGGACCTCTGGCCCAGCCCCTGGTCTGACCGATCCCTACCCTCCAGTCTTGGCCCAGGGTCTCTGCGGTGGCCAACCCTAGCCATCTGAGTCTGTGGGTGCCGTCGGTGGTTTCTGTCCGCAGTGCTGGAGGGCACTTTGTGGCACTTGCTGTCTACCTGCTCTCTCTCCAGCCTCCAGGCTCTCCTGCCGCTGGGGCCCCTCCTGTCTACTGGAGGAAGTGGTGATGTCTTTCAAAAGCCTGGTTACTACAGAGCAGTGGGGCTGGGAAGCAGCACGACAGGCCACCCGAGAACAGAACCCGCAGGTCTCCTCCTGGCCACCAGCTCCATGTTCTCCACGGACAAGGGCCACTGCCACTGTGTTGGGCAGCTCTGTGCTGATGGGATCTCCGGCACAGAGAAGAGCTCCCTGGGGCAGTGTGCGGTGACAGAAGGAGTGAAAGAGGGAATGAACGAGTGAATGCACACCCGTGTGAAGGGGCCCATGCACATGGTGGGATCACCCCACACAGCTTGAGTGGAGCCCCCAGAGACACTGGAGAAGGACCGGCCCCCATGTACCTGCAGGTTCAAGGTGGCCGGGAGGTGGGGTGAGAAGTGCCAGGGAAGGGCCGTGAGTGGGTCGGGGTCTGTGCCAGGTGCCCAGGGGGCCTGGAGGCTCCCGACCCGCACTGCTGAGACTCCCGCCACATCTCCAGCAGCGGATGCCCGTCGGCAAGTCCCAGCTGCCAGGAGGCCCTGCCAGCCAGCACAGAGCCCCACACCCTGCAGAGAGCCGTCTCCGGGCTGGCCCTCTCCTCTCCCAGATCCAGGTTCACGGCAAGCCCGGAGCTCAAGTACCCCTCCCCACATTTGCCTCGGTTGCGATGCTGTTACAGGACGTTCTGCAAAACCACTGGTTCTCACCCTGCTTCCTAGAGCATGTGGCGGAGCTGGGCAGGAAAGCAGCCGGCCCGGGTAAGGCTGCCACTGGGACCCTCCTCCAGCCCGCAGCTCAGTACCTGGTGTGGGCGCCTTGAGGGGGGCCGTCCCTGCCACCGCTGCGGCCACTACAGCTGCCACTGCCACCACCGGGGGCCACGGACGGGACCGGCGGGCACGGGGCTGGAAACACCACCTTGGGTGGTAAAGGTAAAGAAGGACTTGAAATACCTAGAAGTTTCTTACTGTCCAGTTTCTGCCTGTTGAGGGGGTTTGTGCCGTAGAGCAGGGTATGCGTCTCCGAGTGCACCGTCTGCAGCTCCTCCAGCGTGGCCTTCCGTCCGCGGATGCACTGTGGGGACAGACGAGAGTGGGTGTGCACATCCCCCCGCGCCTTTGGGGCCCACAGTCAGCGGAAAGCCCTTCCTGCGAGAACCGTCACCCCAAAGGAAACTGCATTTGATACATACACGGGCGCAAAATTACTTGGTTCTTGCAAGATAAAAAGTAAACAGCACCCAACACACTGAAGAAATATTCTGAAGATGTTCTAGAGATTTACACTTTAATTATTACTTGGAAAAACAGATTTTGACAGATAATTCCAGCCCCCAACGCTTTCACCTTCCCTGTCGTCCAAATGATCAGGCATCAAATTGCCACTTTGCTTTCCAGCTGCTCGGGTCTGCTCTTTGATTGGGTGGGGGGCCTGCTGCACGCGGCGGGGGGCTGCTCTCTCCATGCCCGTGGGCACACAGCCAGGCCTGCATGCCCCCGAGTCCTGGGAACAAGCCCCTTGCTGCGATCCGCCCTGGGCCTGAAGTCAGCGAATTTAGCTCTTCATTTGCGTGTCTGTCCACATTTTCCCTTGCTTTGGGGAGTTCTCATATCGAGGCCGCACAGTGATTTCCACATTTCCCCAGAAATTAACATAAAATCTATTTGTTAGTTGGGCTCTGATTATTTAAACTTTTAAAGAGAAGGTGGTTTATGGCACAAGATTAAAGCTAACAGTTCACACTGACGTGACTTTCTAAGAGCAACAGTCACATGGGAGTCACCTACGTGACTGCAGCGGCCCTGCTGATGGTGGTCCAGAGGCTGCTCTTACTCCCTGCCACCTTGCGGAGGACCTGGAACTGCTCACGTGTGACAGCTTCCCAGGGGACGCCCGTGGACACAGGAGGGAAATGAGAGCAGAGGGAGAAGCTGTGGGGTGGCTGTGGCTGGGTGTCTGCCAGCCTGGCCTCCTGGCGTGGACAGGGCTGTGAGCTCCATGCTCTCCATGGCCACGCTGGGCCCAATGCAGCAGCACGGGGAGGGGAGCCAGACCCGGGAGCTCCCACATCCAACCGCCAGGTCAAGGGGCACGGAGGCCTGGGCCTTCCCGCGGCCAGTCCTGCTAACCTCTCTGCGGTCAGGGCCAATTCCTGCCACCACGTCCAGCACCCAGGCCCTGTACTCGGCCACCTCGGGGCCCGCATGGGAGCCTCATGGTGGCAGGAACACCTCTTTCCCTCAGGCAGAGTGAAGTGGGAGGCGCACCCTGAGGTCAGTGTCCCCACCAATCGAGGGCAGCTGGCTCTGCACCCCTGGGGTACCACAGGGAAGCTGCACGAGTCACCTAGGCCTCTTCCCCACCATCCTGCTGACTTAGGTCTGACCCCACGTCCAGCAGACCCCTCTCCTCCTCAGTGTTCCGGTCTGTAGGTCCGAGGATCCCCCACAGCCCCTGGCCAGGGAGCGGGTGGCACTTCCCACCTTGGGGGCCCAGGAGGGCAGAGGGATCCGAGGGTCTCATTTTCCCTAGGTGTGCTATTTCATCCTCTCAATCCTGTTCGTGTCTGTTCTTCTGGACGGAGAAGCTCTCTGAGAGGCCCCTAGGCCAAGAGGACCCTTCTGGGAGGGGCCAGAGGGGAAAGAGCAGGTCATGGGCAGAGGGCGGGGAGGAGCTCTGAAGGCGGGGCAGGGCCCTGGGTTGGTCCTGGGTGGCACAAGGCACGGAGGACACCAGGGCATTGTAGATTTTCTCCTGGGGTGTCCGCCAGGGCAATGCTGCCCCCCAGTGGCACAGCCTCTGGCCAGACCCCAGAGCAGGGGCCCTCCTCAACTCCTCGCCAGCTCCACGGGGTCCTGTCCGCCCCAGAGGGCATCGCAGGGCAGGATGGTGGACCCAGGTCCCAGGCCCCTGCCCCCTTCGAAAATGGCACATCACCATAGAACCTGTGAAGATGGGGTCACGGGAACCACAATGACTTAAATTACCCAGTATCTCAGCTTCTGTCTCCCACACGTGCCGGCTCGGGACCTGGTCCAGGTGTTCCCCGGGGGTTTTAACCAGTGGGCGTGGACAGTGTTCACCAGCTGTGGGGCTCTAGCTTTCCTGGGTCACTGTGTGAGCCAGCCCATGTCAGCCCACGTCCCATCCCTGAGCCCATGTGAGGCGCACGGGGGAGGCCGGCCGCCGATGACCGGCAGAGCTTGTGGGAGGTGGGTACCGCCAGGCCCCTCCACAGAGAAGGGCTTGTCCTGGAACCTGGGGCCCCCACTCTTCAAGCACATGCTACGGGCAGGGCCCGCTGTCTATGGAGTGTGCTGTGCCTCATGACAGCCGTGCCGCCAGCCAAGAGCTGTTAGATCGCTCTGTGGAAACGCTGCCCTGTCCCCCAGGATCAAGGGACCTCAGAACGCTGCTCAGGGCGCAGGTCTTCCTGCCTTCTCGAGCTGGGGTGCCACCGCATCCAAATGCAGGGAGGAATGAGTTCCAGACCCCAGCCTTCCTTGTGCCGAAGGTGGTGGTGCCACCATTGCCGGACCACAGGGAGATGGAGGACCAGCCAGAACCTTCTCACCGGGCTCAGAGGGTGCTATGTGCACAGGCTGACGTCCAGCCACACTCTGCTTCCCTTACTGCCTGCCGCCGTGGAGGGCCCTGACTTTTAGAGAAGCCCTCAACGGCCCGAGGCTCTTCCTACGTCCTCCAAGCAGCTTTTGGAAATAGGGAAGGGAATATTCCATGAAAGCCAACAGGACAGACTTCCCATGGGCCTCCAGATGTTGCCCTTGTGTCAGAGGTCTGCCAACAGCTGGGCCTGCACCCCAGGCACCAAAGGGGAGCACGGCCAAGAAAGGGTTACTCCAGGGACTCGACCAGAAGGAAGACCAGTCACCGTGGGATTCAGAAAGTAGGCAAGGGCAGAAACAGCTAACAGCATATGGAAGGGGGCAGGAGGATAGGAGGCAAGAGGATAGTGGAGCAAGAGGACAGCGGGACAGGAGGATGGGGGCAGCAGGAGGACAGGGTAGGCAGGACAGAGGCTGGGAAGAGGGGAGCTGGACGTGTAGGCTAACAGCCCTGGGCTCCGCGGGGCCCCCCGCACGTGCCTAACATCATGGTGGCTGTGTGGCCTGCTCCAGCCCAGAGCCCCGCAGGCCCGCAGGGGCCAGGCTTACCTCACATTTGCCCCGGAGGCCCGTCTCCTGCAGCCGAGACCAGATGCTCTGGATCCTCCCAGCGTGCTCAGGGTGGCTGGTGGTGCTCCCGCATGCACACTGGTGCTTCAGCATCAGCGTGTCGTACACGAGGCCTGCAGCGAGCGGACAACGCGGCAGCCACGGTCAGAGTGGCTGGCAGGGGTCCTTGGCTGCCACCCACCTGCCCCCAGACAGCGGCCCGGCGGGACAAACCACTACGTCCCTAGGAGTGACAGAGCGGCCTTTGGTGCACTAGGACCACTTGTCAGAAAACTCCCAGTTTGCCAGAGGCCAAGCGGAGCTCCCGGGAACAGAAGGAGATGCAGTCGGCTGCTCATGGCATGTGCCCAGAGGTCCCCGGGTTGGGGGAGCAAGTCAAGAAGAAAGACGTGAAAAGACACCCACACCACTCCCTGTGCCCTCAGCTGTGGGGAGCTCATGGGGCAGGACAGTGTTGTCCTCCAAAACTCAGCTTTTAGTCCCAGATCCCAGTCCCTCTTGTCAGGGAACAGCCTCTCTATGAAGCCATGTGCTGGGCTGAGTCCTATCTGAGCTTCTGGGGCTCAGAAGAAAGCAAGACTCGGTTCCTACCCTGAGAACCTTCTGGAGTGGCTGTGACAGCGTGAGCACACATACAGACAGGCAAACACCAGGGTATTCAAAGTTGGCACAGAAAGGACGTCACCGAGTCCAGGAACTTGCAGCGTCCTTGGGGACAGGGCAGAGCTGCAATGCCCGCTGGTGCCCCTTGGGGAGATATGGCAACTGGGTCACCCTTGGGGGGGAACCGTGGCTGGGCTCTGCTGTGCAGGGAATGGAGACTGTGTGTCTGGAGGCGAGGCTGGAGGAAGGGGGAAGGGCAGGCGGGGGCCATGCGCACCCCTACAGCTCCCCCTAGGACGCACCCATGTCTTATGCCCCTCCAGCAGTGAGGGAAGTGACAGTGGGGCCCACAGGGCATTTGCCAGGAGGGATGTCCATTGCCCCTGCTGTGGCACTGTTTGCAGTCCCCTTACACATGCTCCCCGAGGGCCATGCGGGTCTCCGTGAGCGGGCATCTGTGCCAGCACCTGCTCTTTCCGGCCCACAGAGGTGGGGATGCTGTGTGAGCGCTGTCGCCAGACCCACCATGTCAGAGGTTGGGGATGGGGGTGCCATCACTGACCACAGGGGAGCGGAGCTGAGGCCACGCTGGATGCCTGGTCTGAGGGGGCATCAGTCCCAGTACCATGCCCTCAGTCCCCGGGTGCTGGGGGAATTCTAGGTATATAAGCAAAATGCAGTGGGGCAGGGTGGACATGTGGTAAAAGAGGTAGGTGGTCAGGGGAGGCTCCTGGGACCCAAATGCAGAAACTTACCACCAGTGCACGGAATTGTGTGTGCAAGACACATACGCACAACAGGCTGTGTTCAGTGGTTCGTAATGGCAACATATACCTATCTCTGCGCATACGCACGTGTATACAGAGCACATGTGCACACGCGCTTAAGCAACCCAGATGCCCGTCAGTGCAACGAACACGGCATCGTCACGTGGCTGGAACTTCCCAGGTGACAGCATGTCTCTCCCGCGATGGACGGGACCCTGGGGACGAGTCTGCAGAGCTAGGGTACAGCAGAGCCAGCCAGGACACCCTGCGGGACGCAAGGCAGCTATGATGACGAGCTGCGTCCGGGTGCACGGATACCCCAGGACGGGGCGACCCCAGGACAGGGCAGGGGACTAACAAAAAGCACACGAGGACCACTGAGCCCTGTCTGCGTGAAATAAATGACATCTGTGTCCAGTTGTCCATCTGGCTGTGCAGAGAAACAAATCTGGAAGATTTAAACCAGACTATTACCATAGACTACCTCTGTGGGATTAGGGGCAACGGTCAATTTCTACATATTTTCATCCCGTTTGTTCTCTTTATAAGGAACTCATACTGTTTTATATATTTGTTAAAAAGTAACAATGCAGATGAGCCAAGATAGTACATCAGCAGAAGGGGAGTCCCCTGGCCGGGTCACCCTGGGCAGCATGCAAGCACAAGGGCCCCCGGGGGCCTTCTTGGACCCCATGGTGGGCACATTTTATGTGGCACTTTTCTGCTGTGCCCACAGGAACAGGGGTCTCTCTCAGGGACGTGTCTACCTCAGGTCTCCTGATTCTACCTGTGACCCTCTGCAGCTTCCTGGTGTTCTTTCTGGAAAGCCCTGGTTTAATTTCTGATTAATTACAAATGACGATTTTCTCTTTTAACAGCTAGCGGAGAGAACTTATCTGGACACCACGTTACGGTGGGCAGAAAAATAGGGTATCTTGTACTTTGTCCTGTTACAGGGCTGCCGAAGAAGGAGGAAACCATTCTGTGTTTAGAGCACTTTTCCTCCTCTGTCTCTGGCAGGAAGTATGAGCCGAGAACCATCTGCAGAGCGTCCTGCTGGCCTCTGTCCTGGGCCCGCCGTGGCTGGGCTGCGGGGACCACCTGACTCAGAGCGGGAAGCCTCAGACCCACCTACACAATTCTGGTCCCTGACTGCAGGGGTGTCACTCTGTAGGCAGGTTCCTCAGGGCTCCTGCAGGGGTGGGGCAGGTAGGGCATGGCCACCCAGAAGGCAAGAGCCTGGGGGCAACTGGGCCATCCTCACACCATGTGGCCTCACCCACACAGGCTACCTGGGCCACGTGGGCAAGACCCTTGCATGGAGGTTTGGTTCACAGAGCAGCTGAGGAGAGAGGACACGCTCACTGTCCCCGCTGCACACAGACGGGAAGCCACACAGCCTGCCGGCCACGCTGGCCCGCCGGAGGGCGGTCTCTGGAGGAAAAGGATTCTCTAGCAAAGGGAAAGTAGGCTTTGGTGCCCAAGAGAGACCACAGCATCATGGGGAGGGTAAGTGGGAAGGGCGCCTCAGTGACTGACACAGATGGTCCCCCAGCCAGGGGTCAGGCCAGGCGAGGGCACAGGTGGCTAGCTCTCGGACCCACGCAACCCCTAGCCTCTGGATGGCGCAGCCCCAGAGTAGGCCTCCCTCATCCGCTCCTGCCGTGAGCCAGTGTCACCCGTGGGTGCCAGCTGGCCAGTCAGACGGGGTCGCCCCGACCCCACACCCTCTGTGCACATACCTGTGGTGAACCTCGGTTTGGCGGGGGGCTCCTGCACAGACATGGGGAAGGTGGCCGACGCCGGGGAGGACTGCGCCCGGGACAGAGGCCGGTGGCCGCCGAAGGACACGGGGATGCCCGCGGCCTCCATGGATGCCTGGTAGTTCCTCAGCTGGTGGATCCGCTGCTGCTCCAGGAGGAGGGCTTGCTAGGGGCAGAGGAGACACGGGTGTTGGTGGCTTCCAGGAAACCTCCCACCTACCAGCTGCAGAGCTATGCGGTCCCTTCCTGCAAACCACATGCCCGTTTGTTCACTGGCATGCGGCATGCAGCTCGAAGCATGTCAGGGCGGCTGGTCGGGATGGGCTGCCTGCTGCCCACGGAGAGTCCCCCGCCTACAGGCAGCCCTCCTGGGCCAGTCTGCTGCTGTCTTGCTTCAGACCAAGAGGACCCGATCTGCATGCCCGAAACGCATGTGAGGAGCACATGGTGGTATAGAAATGCTGACTCTTCCATTTGGCGCCACGGTCTGCTCCCTGGCCTCTCCCCACCCCACAGCCCCCCACTCCAGGGCAAAAAGACTGCAGATGCAGCAAAGAAATGTCTCGCTCAGGTTCCAGATGCCCGGGGCCCTGCTGGCCGGTTTTGCGGCCAGGGAGGGGGTGGGCGCGCCGTTCAGAGGAGGTGGGGACCCAGATGGACAATCCCCAGGATGTTAGCGGCTTTTCAGCTAAAATAACCAGGGGAAAAGGACGTGAATTCAGAAAATAGTTTTTTGCGAAAAACTCTTTTTCATGAAAATTGTGTTTCTATGGGAAGAGCACAATACCACAGGGACCTAAAACAAGCAGTTTGGAAACTAAGGGAGCTCGGGTGTGAAGAGGCAGGTTGGCGCTCGGAGCAGGGACGGCCTCCCTCGAGTGTGGCCGGTGGGCGCCACCATGAGCTCGCACGGCTCTTCTCTGCCCTGGCCACAGGCCAGTGGGGAACCATAGGGGGCTCCAGAAGGGGTGTGGAGGAGTGGGAAGTGCTGGGTGGGGCCCGGGCCCCCCCACCGAGGCGTGCGTCCCTGTGAGGGGCAGAGGGGAGCCTGCCCAGAAGGGCCCCAAGGCAGCAGGGGCCGGGCTTGCAGGGAAGGCCTCCCCGGAACGGTGAAGGCACTGCGGGTAGCAGCCTAGGTGCCAGGGAAGACACAGTTCCTCCACGAACCTGGCCTTCGTTTCCGTAAACAGATCTTGTCCTTTTGCAAGACAACAGGGCCCATGGCCTCTGCGTGAGCAGCAGCACAGCAGTTGTACAGGAAGGGACCCTCTCAGCCCTGCTGCCCTATATTCCTGCCTTCAGGAAGCGGAGTCGGGGCAGAGCAGAGAGGGAGAGAGTGGATCCAGCTGCCCGAAACTGCCTTCCCGTGCTTCTGTCGATGGAAGCCACGACTGCGGGGCTCACACCCACCGCCACAGGCACCGGACTCTGCCTGACAGCGCCTCTCCTCGACACCCAGTTTCCAAAGCATCAGCGGCCTTGGCTTGTGCTTACAAGGACCACCAAGTTCCTAATAGGGAGCTCTGCTCGTGATTTTTCAAAGAATACAGAAACTAGGTGTCTCTACTCACTGTCTTGGGGTTACAGCAAAATAACACTTTTTCTCTAAACAAATGCCAATCACTTTATCATCTGCAAAACACCAGCCCTGAATGTTCACTTAAGGCTGTTCGAATATCCTACAAGTATCCTGATAATGCATTGAATGTTCACTTAAGGCTGTTCCAATATCCTACAAGTATCCTGATAATGCATTGAATTCCACGTAGGCGCTCAGCAAGGCCCGCCCACCCCCCGGGAGCAAAGCCCCACATGGGTAGGCTCCCAGGATGGCCAGCTGGGCTCAGAAAAGCATAGTCAACGCTGGCTGCCTGCAACACCCCGCTCTGGGCCGCGGGAGCTACTGTACCCATACACAGCTCTGCTCCTGAATGAACGTTATAATCAAATCCTGCGTCCTGGGTACCCTGGCTCTTGGGCCCTGCTGGCCAAGAACAAGCAGTCTCCCTGGGGCTTCCGGCTCCCTGGCTGGCTGTCTGAGTGTCCTGCAGACATGGCAGTTTTACTTTCCATTAAATTGATAAATCATTCATCAGATTTATTCATCAGTCTCTTGTGAGTTTGGTTAATATGTATCAGTGTCTGGGACTAGGTGTCTTGTCACTGTTTTTTCGATCTATAAAGTTGGTCAGTACTGCCCTTAGGCCCCCAAAGACCTTGCCTACCTTTTTGATCAATTGAGAAATCAATCTACCTCCTCCCACCTTTGATGATTACGCTGATCCTACTAACAGTCGGATTTATGTGAACCTACAGTTTTTACATCTGAAAGAAAGCAATCTCTAGGGACTCTGGGGCTGGCATTTGGCTGGGTTACAGGCGCACGGATAGCCATAGTGGACAGAGGGCCAGTAACTCCCAGTATTGCTAACGTCAAATAGACTTCGAACCGCAGCCGCGTCCTATACTACCCAGGGATGGATGGGCAAGGACCCGGCCAGGCAGAATGGGGGGCTCTGCAGCATTCACAGACTGCCAGCCACAGGGCGCTGGCCCTCAGGGGACATGGGCCACTGTCTGAGGGCCCGTCCTGACCCTGTGTCCTGCCCCTGTCTGTCCTCTCCCACCTGGCCTGGCCTCAACCAGCACGGTCACCTGTCTGAAGAGCAGCTCCTGCTCTGTGGGCTGGCGCTGGCCAGACTCTGAGTCCCGCGGGGGCTCCGCCTCCTCCTCGTCACTCTCGATGGGCTCCTGCTTCACCTGTACCCCAGCCAGCGCGTGCGGCTCCTTCTGCCCTGACAGCCGGTCCAGGTAGGGCTCCTCCAGGAGGGCCTGGTGCTCACGAAGCTCCTCCTCGGTCTCCTCGGGGTGGCTCTCGGGCTGCCGAGCCGGCTCGCTCTGTTTGGGGATCATCTACAAGGCAGAGGGAAGGGAGGAGGGTGACAGGGATGAAGGGACAGTAGAGGGGCATCACAAGGTCCAGATCTCAGAGCAAAGGGACAGATGACCCCGGGGGGATGCTGCGAACCCCGAGCTAAGGCCCACAGCCTGGGCACTGAGGGAGTCTGCCCCACCCGGGGAAGGACAGCCCTGCGCTTGCTGCACATCTGTGAAGGAGGGGGTGGGTGGAAGATGTTGGGCCGGGCTGTGCTGCCCTGCAGAGGGCGGGAGCAGCTGAGCACCTGCAGGCTCGGGGGAGGGGGCCACGCAGCAGCCTGCACACAGTCTGTGGGTCTGGTCCCAGGGCAGGCTGGGGGAACAGGGTGCTGTGGCCACCCTCAAGGAGACCCTGCGTGGAGGTCACCGGGCCTTCTGCTGACCCAGTGGAGGGCTCGCTGGGGCCTCGGAGCTGAGCCAGCAGAGGTGCCCTCCCCCAGACAAGGAAATCATGGCCATGGGAGCTTATCGGATACACTTTGTGGTGGCAGGTGCCAAGCTGTGCACATGTGAGTCCCGTCAGGAGCTCCACAAATGTGGCTGATGGCTTGTGACCCACCAGCCACGCTGTGAGTTGCCCCAGGATGCGGAGGGGCTTACTCCCATTGGAGGGACCCTGGTGGGGTCCGGGGAGGGCGCTGATGGCACCGGCACCCTCTTGGAAGCCTGGGACTGGGAGGACTGTCTGCCCCATCCCCATGGCATCAGCTCATCAGCAAAGGAGGCAAACAGGAGGATTTCTCCATGGGGATGGAGCTGGCTGCCCATTGACCTCAGCTCGCCTTCTGCTTCTTCCAGGAGCAATGCCGGGTGGGATTACAGCCGAATGTGTCAAAGTCCCAGATGATTCTGTTTAACGCCCTGTGGCGCCCACTCCTTCTTCTTGTGTGTTTTGTGTGTCAGCCTGGGCTGGGAGTGTGGGTCCCTCCCTGAGGCCCCAGGAGGGTGCTGCAAGATGGTGAAAGCTCAGAGGCGGGGGAGCAGGTGGAGCAGGAACAGGGACCTGCGTGCTCCCAGGGCGAGCGTCCCCGGCTCCCTCTCTGGCCTTCTCAACTTCCTCAGAAGATGAGGGCATCTGAGCAGCGACCTCCAGGTCCCTCCAGAGGACTTGGGATGCTCTGGGCTTCCATGAGTGCCAGCTCGGCCCTGTGAAGCGTTTCCGGAGCCAGGAAGTGCTGGCCCCACTGTCCTGGGAAGCGCTGAGCAGGAGCAGGGGCACCTGAGTGGCCACCGTCTCCCTGGAGCTCAGTGCCTATCCCGAGGCGTGGAGAAGCTCCAAGGGGGGCCTTGGCCTCCAGGTGGTGGTACAGAGGGAGTCAGGGAGGGTCGAGGCCACAGTAGCGGCCTCCTGTGATGCCGAGTGCATGTTCCACCACCGGCCATGGCCACAGGGGTTCTGGCTCCACCGCCATGCAGCCTCCTTGGGACGTGGCCACAGGCAGAGGCCTCCCTGTGCCTACGAAATGCGGTTCTGCATCCGCCAGCCAGGTCACAGGCTCGCTGCTCTGCAGAGCTGGTTCGGGGGTGAGGCTCCTGCAGGCAAACACAGCCGCAAAACAAACACACAAACCAGCTCACTGTCCTCCTTTGGACCTTTGGCGCCCCTTTTACCGATGATGTGTGGACAAATGCAGGTCCTCAAGGCCAGACTGCAGTTGGGGCCAGTACAGGAGCTCATTGGACATGCTGGCGGTCCGCCCACCCAAACACAGGGGCCTGAGGTCTCGGGATCATGGCCCGGCCGCCGCAGGACTCCAGCACTGCATGACACTCCGCAGCTGGGGCAGGAACTGCGTGCTCAGTGAACCCTCGGTCCTGCAGGGGCATGGACGCTGGCAAGTGCTCTTTTCCAGCAGGAAGAGGAAAGCCTGTCTGCCGCAGCACGATTCCCACCCCACTCGACTCAGACCCGCTCGGGGGCACGTCTAGACATGGAGGCATCCCTGCCACTTCCCAGCTGTAAGCTCTGCCCACCCGGTGGGGGCACGCATTCTCCAGAAAGTTCCTTCGCCTGGCAAACCTTTATTAAACACCATGGCACATCAGGCCCCAGGCACTAAACAACCAACGCTGGCCCATGGCTGAGGGGCTCCAGCCAGCAAGCACAGCCAGCTCGAGCGTCCATCCTTCCTGCTCATAGAGGTTCCCGGCTCCACAGCAGGGTTCCCTCAGCCGGGGACTGTGGGAAAACCGAAGTGGCTGTGTTCGAAGGCTGGGGCTGGACTGAAGGCTGAGGTCCCCAGTGCACCCTCAGCAGGCTGGGAGGGTGGGTAGCCTCAGAGCTGCCAGGAGCTGGGTGCTCCCACCATCGGGCCGGGGGGAGCCCCTCAGGGACAGCAAGCCCCGGCATAGGGCAGACACACCCGTGCTCAACAGCACGAGATAACATCACTGGCTCCCGGAGATCCCAGGAGAATGTTGCACAAACACTGCAATCACCTGCTGTTCCCTCTGATAATCAATCACGTAACAGAATCCGGGGAGATCACCCAGTTTCTAAATCATTCTTTCCAAGAACTCACCAGGAATGAAGAGATGTTTTCTGCCTTCCTAAAACCTCCCACCCCATCAGTCAGATCAAATTAAGAAGCCACAGCCATGCTAGGAAGACGGACGTGAACTGCCTTTGACGCTGGGAGTGAACGGACAGTCCCCGTTTTGCCCACAGGAGGCAAGTGCCTCTGCCATCCCCATGAGGGCCGTGTGTGGTGGCCCCCTGCTCCCAACAGGTTCTGCACTCTCTGCCTGGGGGCCATGGACACTCTGGGCATCTGGCCATTCAGGACCCCGGTGCCGGGGTGGGGGGGGCCATCTCCTCATGTGTGTCCCTGTGACCCTGTCGTGGGGACCCTCAGGCCAGAGCTGGGCTGCTGCTGGCCCCCACCTTCCCAACTTAGGGTTTTAATCACCAGTGTGTTTAAACATAACAACCTGCGGCAGCTCCCTGCTAACAAGCAGCTGTGGGAGGGGCTTTCGGGACTACGCAGGTGTGCACACCTCTGAAGGCCGTCCTGCACGCTATCCCCTCTGAGGGTGAAGTCCCACGGGGTGGGCAGGTGCAGGTGTGGGGGGGACTTGGATAAGGTGCTCTTGGGGCTCCGGGCGGTGGACAGCTGGGGGCTCCCTGTGGGGGTCTGCGCACGGAAGGGGAGGGTCCTCCAGGAAGTCAGGAGGACATGCTGAGCCTCGCCCCCGCCCAGCGGCCCCTGCCAGCCCTGCGCCTGCAGACCCACCTTGTTCATGTGCAGCTGCTGCTGGAAGTGCTGCTTGTGCTTCTCCAGGAACTGCTGGTGCTGCTGCTGGATCACCAGGTGCTGCAGGGCCGGCGCGTTCTGGGGCAGTGGGGCCGACTGCGTGCGCCCCAGCGGGCGGTGCTGCCGCAGCTTGTGCACAGACGGGGACACGCGCTCTGCACCCACCAGCGGCTGTGCATGCAGGGGCAGTGCACCCAGGCCTGAAAGACACCAGTGGGAAGGTGACACAGGTGGAGAGGTGGCAGGGCATAGGGGAAGGTCCTCTGCTCCAACCCAGAGACCCGGGCACACACCGCCGGAAGCCCGGAGTGCGGGCCACTGGGAGGTGGCCGTCCCTTGACACCCAGGCCCCTGCCATAAGTGGGCATCCAAGGGACAGGCTCTGGCATGGTGGGCCCGCCCATGAGGGGCCCCACGACAGCCCTCCGGGAGCCCTGGGCCCTGGGAACGCTGGTGTCGGTCTGAGCAGCACCGCAGGCAGCTGGAGAGGTTCGGGCCACACTGAGAACAGTGGCGGAGGTTCCGGTGGCCTGGAATGTTCTAGAAGGCTGTGGACATGGCTCTTCCCTAAGTGACCCAGAAACTAAGTTGTAAGGGAATGAAATGTCTTTAGGATCAAATCTTTAAGGGTCTCTTCAAGGGGTGACCTGATGCAAGGGGGACAGTCATGCTTATACAAATCCCGCTACGTCCGGTCAAGGTCAACACCTTTCTCCAAGCGTTCTGCCGGCCTGCATGCCTTCACGCTGCTTCACCAACCCATGCCCGGACCGCGTGCTTAAGAACCCGAACTGATACACAATCCTGTTCTAATCTGTATTTGAGTCTTATTTTAAAATGCAACCTCTTCGGGGGACTCAGGATGCCAAACGCTTCCTCTTCTGTAAGCTTTTTCGTACGTCTGGGTTTTTACTTTTGCAAACTGGGGGTTTAGGCACCTTACCGCTTTTCTAATAAACCCTTGCCCTAATTTTCTAATAAACCCAAACCCTACCTGATTGCCCACTGCCCAAAAGCCTCAGATGGATGGACACAGGCTCAGACTGAGGAGGACCCAGGTCACAGGCGTCTGCCTGGGAGGGATGGCATGTACCCGAGCACAGCAGCAGCCGGGCTCCCTGAGAGCATGGCCCCAGGAGCCTCCCGAGGTGTCCCCAACAGGCGGGTGCTCCTGCCCGTGTCCCCCCCTGGGGGCTCTGAAGACCCCCCAGGAGCACTACAGTCTTGGTCTTCCCCTTATCCCGTCACGGCTGTGGGGATTTCTAAATGCTGTACGCAGATAGAAAGCACACCCAGAGAAAAGACCCAACCCTCACAAAGCTGTCCCTCACTAGCTGTTCGAGATGTTTGTCAACTTTGTCCCCTAAACCGCCATCACCTTCTGTCCGGTCCACTGTTTTCTGAAAAGAGAAGTCACCATGAATTTCATTATCTGCTCAGCTACTAAAATTACAGTTAGTAATACAAAAGATCGACTCATTCCCTGTCAAGTTTTCTAGAAAAGCTTAAAAAAAAAAAAAGAAAAGAAAAGAAAAGAAAAGCATCTCCCTAAAATGGTGTTTTGGAATTCTTCCCGTTGATGGAGGTGTCCTGAGCAGCAATGTGAGGAAGTCTGCCACACAGGGCTGCACTGACGGGATCGGAGGCAACGCGGCCCTGAGCAGGTCCCCCTCGGACACGCAGCTCCCTGAGCAGATGGCCCTTAGGCCTCCGTGCACACCAGGAAGGAAGGTGAAGTCGTGAGGGGGCAGCAGAGCTGTGCCTGGCTATTGGGTGGCTGGCCCCATGCCCCCCAGAGAAGCTTCCCTGGACTCCAGGGCAGGGACCCAGTTCCCCAGAAACTGAGCATCCAGGGCTGATCACTGAGCAGGAATGAGCTGCTCTAGTGGCCCATCATGAGTGTGAGCCCGGCTTCTGGTGCTTGTTGCCCTTCTGAATGGGTACAGGTTCCTCCTTCATGCAGGGTGGCTCTGAGGACACGGGTCACTGTCCCCACAGGGACACGGCAGATGGTGGGAGGACCCCAGTCCATATTTCACTACGGGCCTCCTGGGGTGTAAAACCCCACGGCCATCCCCGCAGGGACGGGTCACAGTGCAGAAAACGGAATGCCCAACCTACTGGCCAGGTGACTTCCAGTTGGCCCTGCAGGTCATTTGCAAGGGTTTCTGATGACAAACCATTATCTGGCTTTTGGTACACATCCTAAAAGGCTTTAGCATCAAACCATGCTACACTGAGATCAAATTCTGTCCCAGGCAACCCAGCCGTCGGCCGAGGCCTGTGTTGTGCTGAGCGCTGTGCAGGGGCAGAGCCTGACCCGCGGCTCCTGGACCCTCTCTGGGCAGGGAGGCCGGGCTGCCTGGGGCCTTTTCCTGAGCACCTGGCCAGCTGGGAGGCTGAACCAAGGCTCTGTTCTCTTCCCACCCACAGCACGGGTGGAAGTTCCTCTGTCGGAGGACTCTGGGAGTCCTCTGGGAGAGGACTCACTTAGCATCACAGATCTCTGCTCCTTCCAGCGGGACCGGGAGGGTGGCCAACACCCCCGAAAGTGCAAGCTGGACCACGTGATCCTAAGGACAATGTTAACTCCTGGCACTGAGCCAGCCATCCAGGTTTCGAGATGTGCTATGCATAGCACTAACTGGTGAGTTCACAAACAAAAGCACCACTTAGATACCCCCACAGATATGGGGGTGAAGAGTCAGGCTGCTCTGATGTTTTGGACCCAGTTCTGAAGTGCTGGCCTTTGTACTATGGAAATCGGGTTAAGTAGATGAACTCACACTGGACAAGTGACTCATGTGGCCTGGGTCCTTAGAAACCCATCTGATGCGTCCCTAGCCCTACACACCACAGCGAAACTCTTTAAAACCCTTCGAAGGGGGGCACCTGGGTGGCTCAGTGGGTTAAACCTCTGCCTTCGGCTCAGGTCATGATCTCAGGGTCCTGGGATCGAGCCCCACATC